GAATACCCAATTTATGTAAACGGGTAATGGGGCGGTTATGGGTTTATACCTACCCGCCCCGTTACCCGCCCCGTTACCCGCCCCATTTAATTTGGATACGGTTACCCGCACCATTACCCGACCCGCACAATTAACTTATACATTATAATAGTTTATGTATTTATTATTTAATATATTAAGTATATATGAATATTAGTACATTAGTATATGATACTTATTCCCTCTAGTACTTTGAAACAATATTCAACTTTTTGGCTATCCTTTACAATTCAGATGAGTTGGTGCTCAAAGTTCACTATTTTAGATTTTAAATTTTCAATATCATTCATCATCCTTCCTTTGTTAACTTCTATAATATTCCTTCAAAACAACTTCTACAATATTTATTTTCTTCACATATTGATTATTTGATTTTCGTGACTTTCTTTACGCAATTTTCACATTGTGACTCTCTTAGTTTTTCACCCAATAACTTTCATAAAACTCACGTATGAGTTTAAAGTCAAAATATTGCGAAACATTACTCTAGCTTGCTTTAATTTATGTAATTGCTAATAATTTTGTAAAGGTGTATTGGATGATTAGATTAATTTTGATTGGTTGCTCTAATTTATATCAAGTTTTAAAATTTAAATTATGTTTTTTTTCTAAAACAGTAACTACAAGAATACCTAAATCATAGTATTAGAAGTGCCTTTTAAGTAATTCCAAATCTATAATCAAAATAAAAGTTGTGGACAAAAATGCGACTCTAGTAACTTTAGTGTTTATAATTTTTTTCAAATGTTATGTCGTAGTGATTACAAAACTTACTCATGGTAACTTATAGTCATATTTATGTTCATATCTTTTTTATTAGAGATATTTTAGGGGAAAAACTTCACATTTTCATTATGTTACTTGTATACATTATTGTTCTTAAATTAATTTAGATGTTGAATGTTGGTGGGAATATGTTTATTGAATGTTTGGAAGTTAAATGTATTTTTTATTCATATTTAGATTTTACTATCGAGAAAAGTCTTACTCTTTTGATGTTGATGTGGTAAGAGATTCAATTTGAATCTAGACATATATAATTTGTGAATATTATATTCAAACGATTGTAACTTTTTGTCATGTTTTAATAAACTTTATCTGTGGTACTATTTAATTTTAATTTTTTTTAATTTATGTGGTCAATGATAAGTAGTTAATAATCATTTTAGGATCTATACTAATTTTGAAGAAAAAAATTTTTTTTTTAATAAAACGGTTACCCGCGGGGAAAACCGTTACCCGCGGGTAAAAAATACCCGACGGGTAACGGGGCGGTTTCGGGGAAAAATTTTATCAAACGGGGCGGGTACGAGTAATGGTATACCCGACCCCGAACCGCCCTGTTGCCATCCCTAGTAACATTTATATCTTCCCATTTCTAAATCTTCCCATCATACCCTCAATAATTTTAAAAATAATACACTACTACACTTACTTTTTTTGGATTTATCCTTCATTCCATCACATTATTTCACCATCTTCGATCCCATCATACCCTCAATAATTCATACCCCATTTCATTATTCTTAATCTCACTCACTTTGGAAGTGGGAAGATATATGTGATACGGAGGGAGTATTTAACAAAATAATTTGTTGTGTATATTGTAGGGAAAATGGAAACTAATAATACAACCTTTTAGCGGTCTTCTTTCAATAATCCCACCTTTTGATTATTCATGAATAATCCAACCTTTGCACCTCATCTTCATTCACTGGTCCCTGACCGGTTGATGACCTGTTATTCCAAGCTATTTTCTTATCTTTGCAAATCATTATACCATAATTCTCATCTTTCACAAAGATAATATTTTGGAAAGATAAGAAAATAACTTGGAATAGTAGGTCATTAACCGACCATGGACCAATGAATGAAGATGAGGTGTAAATGTCGGATTATTCATGAATAATCAAAAGGTGGGATTATTGAAAGAAGACCGCTAAAAAGTTGGATTATTAGTTTCCATTTTCCCTATATTGTATCATTTGTATCTTGTTGTTGTTCTTCATTATTTGTAGTATAACACGAGTAGCATTAGGGAGTGTTTTCAACAGCTTCTGCTTAAAAAAAGTACTTTTGGGGTGATTTGGAAAAAGTGATTAGTTATAAAAGTTGATAGTGTTTGAGAAAAAAGTGATTTTGAAAAGTAAAAGTTGGTAGTGTTTGGTAAAATAAGTGTTTTTGGTGTTATAAAAAGGGGAAAAGCACTTTTGACACAAAAGCCGAGAAAAGTAAAATATTGGTAGTATTTGGTAAATAAGTGCTTTTTAAAGCCAAAGGCTGAAAAGTGCTTTTTTAAAGCTTTTGCAAACCAGTCCTTACTAGCATATACTCCCTCCGTCCCCGGAAAATTGTTCCTGCATTGACTTAGAACGGAGTTTAAGAAAGTGGGAATAAAGTGGAAATGTATGGTTGTGGTTGAGTAAGAAAAAGAAAAATGAAGTGTAGCCACAAAAAAACTTTCCAAAAGGAGAAAGTGAAACAATTTTTTTGGGACGGCCCAAAAAAGAAACCGGGAACAATTTTTAGGGACGGAGGGAATATACTTCATACTAGTATTCTTTTTCCTTGGAAGTTCAATAGTGTGAAAACAATCCACTTTAATATAGATTCAATTCAGCATAAGATTTTAATGTATCATGATCGGTGTTATTCTCCGGTCACTCCAAAATACTGCTCCGAATTATTCATTATTATACTCGGTATTATTTAACAAGCAATCTCTGGAGATTTTTGTATATTTTTCTAAATTTGTTATATATTCACCTCAAACAATGTCAACAATCTTGATTGTGATGGAATTTGTACATAAGACTTCATTTTCAAAAAAAAAACAAGAATGACGTCCTCACACCACACATTATTTGATATCATTCCCTTCAAGTTGAACATTAAGAGCTCGTTTTGGTATCATGAATTATGACAAAATTATATTTAAAATACATTTTATTCATAAAATAAAGAAAAATTATACGACAAATAGTTAAAATAGCAAGTCATCCACAATAATTTGAGTTAATTCAGTAAAAAAAGTACATCTGGGCTTATTTAAGTTGAATATTACATAATTCAACACATATAATCAAAAAAATACGTGTTTTATGAAAATAATGTCACATTTTTTTATCGTCAACTAGCCTTCTTTCATATCATAAATTTCAGGATCATTACATTAGTCAAAGGAAAAACAAAACTGACACCAACTAAATTCCAACAACTACGACTGTAAACTTTATGATCAGACTTAGAGACGGTCACCAACTGTAACTACGACGCTAACCATGTAGCGGGCTTGACATATTCATCTCTGTTCTCATGCATAGATCCAAACATACTCAACGACATAAAAAAGGTTGAAATCCCAAACAAACTGACTAACCTAATTAACAACATAGACGATAACAAGAATCCAAATGACAAAAAAAATAATAACTAATAGAAAAACTTTCACGGACTCTATCATCTCGTACAACTCATGGCGGTGGTTCCGCAGGAGACCGTATCCTTAGTACCATTCTAATTGACCCTTCATTGTCAATCGTCATCTGACCCGCTCGAAAGCCGCGCAACTCTCCTCGTCCCGCGCTCTTAGCAAATGCACCGCTAGCGGTCATCATCATCGTTGTCATGCTATTGCTACCCAAACTCATTCTTCCTCCCAAAAAAAGAACCAATCGGATTGTCTATTGTCGCATTAATAAGCTCTAAGTGTCATTTGTTTTTTCTTCTCGATCATGTTATGATCCACCATTAGTTTCTCTCAGTGACGTTAGTACGTTGTATCACATATTCCATATTTTTATTATTATAGTTATTGAATATGCCCATGTCATTGTTTTTGTCTTCAAACACACAATTGACTTTGGTAATGTTTTTTGTTTTTGTATTTTCAAAATCTTAATCAACAATCATTTACTTTTTATTTCTTATATGTTGTTGAATTTGTCCATTTGATTTCACGTTTCATGGTCTGTTGGTTTTTGTTCTTCGTCTTTCTTCTTTACTACGGAGTATAAATTTGGGAAAGTTCCCGAAATAGGACTAAAAGAGTTTGAAAATTTCAAAATAGGACTGACATGTTTTTATTCCCAAAATAGGAGTGATTACTGTCAAGTTTCGAAAATACTGTCATGTTTGAAGTCTAGTACTGCCAAAACATGTCAGTAATTAGTCCTGTTTTGGGAATCAAAACATGGAAGTCCTATTTTAGAATTTTCAAACTCTTTTAGTCCTATTTTGGGTAATATCTCTATAAATTTTTCATCTTTCATATATCATTATATCGACGTTACCAATCAGGTTGTTTTATAATACTCTGTACTACATTTGGTCAAGCAATTCAAATAGTCATTCGAAATGCTAATTAATGCTTTAGTAAATAGTACGATTAATAATCACCCCGCTTTAATAATCTACCCCTCCGTCTCCGAAAGAAGTTCTCACTTTTATTATTTGGATGTCCCTAATTTAAGTTCTCATTTCCTTAAATGGAAAGTTATCTACATTAAAATAGTACCAAACAATGCAAAACAGTGTCAAACAGTGTCAAACAGTGTCAAAACAGTAAACTTTACCTCATGGTAAATCTACTTGCATAAAAGTGTGAAAGTAAAATGGGAAACTTCTTTCGCGGATGGAGGGAATTTTTACTTCAATAATACTTTGATTTTGCAGGAATGCGCGTAGATTGTGAAGATCAAAAAAGGAGAATATAAAGATCTTTAAAAGAAATGTCTCTACACTCTTGATGTGCACAAAATATGTAAATAAATTGTACATTTCTATGTACACATGCAACTAGAAGAGTTTGGCAATAATGATCATTTTCAAATGAATTGACAATGCACACGACCAATTCGAGAGGGTTTGCGACTTTGTGTACACTTTTGTGCATTATTCGCGTAGACCAAGAACTTTTCTTTTTGTTCAAACCACCAAGGATAGTTGTATATACAGTACACATTACACAGCAAAGCAAGCTAGTGATGAAAACAAAACATAGCTAGCTAGCTATGTCCCAAACTCAATGGTTGAAATTCTTCACTCTCTTCACACTATCCCAAATCACCAACTCAGATTCTTGGCAAGCAGAAACACCACCTCCAATTCCCATTTTGCCCCTCCCAAGCTTCTCCCAGCTCAAATGGCAACAAAGGGAAGTGATAATGTTCCTTCACTTTGGAGTCAACACATTCACTGACCGTGAGTGGGGCACCGGCCGGGAGAGCCCGGCCATCTTCAACCCGGCCTCTCTAGACGCCGATCAGTGGGTGGAGGCGGCGGCGGAAGCCGGGATCTCTCTCGTCATACTCACGGCCAAACACCACGACGGATTCTGCCTCTGGCCGTCCAAATACACCGACCATTCCGTCACGGGGAGCCCGTGGAGGAACGGCCGGGGAGACGTTGTCCGTGAGTTTGTTAACGCCGCTAAGGGCCGCGGTGTGGATGTGGGGTTGTACCTTTCCCCTTGGGATCGCCATGATCATAGATATGGCCGTACCAAGGAATATAATGAATTCTATTTGGCTCAATTACAAGAACTTCTCACCAAGTAAGTTCATTCTTTTTGTTCATATATTTGATGCAAATGAAAATAAATCTTCCCTAATTCCTATTTTTTTCCCTAAATACAATCAACCGTTCGGTAACTATAAAATTGATTTGATGGGATGAATATAATGTAGTGAACTTTCTGAGTTCATGGCTAACAATCTAAAACTATTGAATGGGCTAAATTGATTAATTTACGAAAAACATGCCGATGAGTTTCGGACATGTGGTTTCTTTTTTGAGATGTCATAGTGCTGTTATCGAATCACGAGGTGTTTGACTTTTTTTTCATTTAAATTAGAAAATCAATTTCATTTTTACTTATTTGGATTTTATAGATATAGTATATTGTTTTTCATTGTTTATAATGCTGTCAACTTTTCTTTTTGGTTGTCTGATCAACTTTGACACTTTCCGTTTTTAATAATAAAAAAGTTGTAGTTCTTGCTAATTATCTCTTATTTTCACAAATCTCAATCACACAACTTTTACTACATAGTATATTATTCTACGAGTCCATCACCTTTTTCAAAGTTATAAGGGACTGATGGAGTAATTCAATACATTTAATTACTGTTTAATAATTAATTCTCCCTTAGTCCCTAAATTATCTTCAAGTGTGGCTTTTGCAAAAGAAATAAAAAAATAAAAAAAAATGAAAATTGTGTGATGAAGAATTGTGCGGATGAGGAACAAATATGAATGTATAAAACGTGCCGCAAATCATAAATCTTAGCCAAAAAGGAAAGAAAAGCATTTTTATTACAAACAAGAAAAAGAAAATTTGAAAAATAATTCAGGATTATGGGGAGTAATAATGTTGAATTAGGTGATAAATTGAGAAGGAAATTACCAAAATGTGGTAATGATTTGTTTGGTGATGTAGTTATGGAAGTGTGAGAGAAATATGGTTTGATGGAGCGAAAGGTCCAAATGCACCAAACATGACATATTTGTTCAATGATTGGTTTGAAATGGTGAATGAGTTGCAAGGTGCGATTAACATATTTTCGGATGCCGGGCCGAGCGTGAGATGGGTCGGGAATGAACAAGGATATGCGGGCCCCACCTGTTGGTCCACCATTAACCGGACGCTACTTTCCATCGGCAACAGCAGTGTACTTGAGTATGTAACATTCCTTGTGCACACACTATTATTACCTCACCACTATGCTCCATGGAATAGTTACAATATTTTCTTTTGGACTGAAATTTGCTGGTCCGGTCTGATCTGTTCTGGTAAATATCTGGTCTCTGTGTATTTTATAACTACGGAAGTTTGGTATGGTCTGATCTGGTGTGGGACTGAAAACAGTCCAAAAGAAAACATCATTAAACGAGAAAACTAGAAGCATAAAATAAATTTAGTATAAATAAAATATCTAGAATTTGAGAAAGATAGACACAAAAAATTGAATTAAGGGATTGTAGAGATATAATTCAATATCTCTCTCATACTTTAGCTGTTTAGCATTATCTCTCTCAAACTTATATTAGTCTTAGAGTTGACACTATTTTTCAAGTGTGTCACTAAAATCAGGGGCGGATCGTAGTAGAGATCCAAGGAGTCACGACGCATACAAAAAAAGTTAGTATAATATATATGAAAAATTATTTTGGCTAGTCTTATAATTTTTTTGTTTAAATTATGGCCACTGCAAGATGAATTTCCTGGGTCCGTCTTGACTAAAATATAAATATTCTATATTGTTTTTACTATGATTCAGGACTGTTTGTTTCTTATTTTTTTCACTAATTGTAACCTTATTTAATTTTTCAATTTTGTTACTATCAGTTTTTCCTATTATACTACGAAGTACATTCATGCATGGAACAATATAATATTTAGTATTAAATTCTCTTTAATCATATTCGAGATAGAGAAGAAATTAAATTAAACCTCTGATCGATATCATCAAAGAATCAGGCTATATATTAACTTAACTAATTTATCAATAGTTAAATCAACCTAACTAACTAAAGAGCATATATGGAAAGAGAGGATGGTTCGAAATAAGGATGTAAAGTTAAACAATACGCGTCAGATACCCCACTAACTGGATATCCTTCATATTTAAGCTTATGAATGGATTTGGTATCCAAGTGGAAAAGAAATACACCCCCTCTTTCCCCCCTTAGAATTAGGTCGAAAGGAGGAGTCTTCTTCTTATTATCATCATTAACAGGAACAAAGGCGTCCAAGAAAGTCATCCCCACCCCGGGCATTGCACAGATGAAATGAAAACTAAACCTGCACGGGTAGCTTAGTTGGTCGAGTGGTGGGAAATTTGGAACAATGACCAAGGTTTGAATCCCCGCAGCGGCCGAGTGGAGGTCACAGAACCTGAAATAAGGTTGGGCCTCTGGTGCGCACGGGTGCATGGGCCTACTGCAACTCTACTGACTGAGTCACCGTGACTTACATCCTCCCAAAAGTCTTGTCGGGTCGGGGTGTGGGGGGCGCTTGGGGTTGGCGATTCAACCTTTTGGAACAATGAAATGAAAACTAATATCGTACATCAGAACCCATTCTTGACAAGCTACGACGGACGGCCGTGGTTCATTGTCACTGCCGCGGCCATCTTCGATATCTTTTGGGAGCATGAAAATTCTAATGCGTGTGGTATCCATGTCGACCATGCGGCTGAGCCATAACACATCACCAGCGTCAATGGAGGTCCTTGTAATAGTTGTAGAGATGCTAAAACCAGCTGGAATGTCGATGATCTAGAGGTGCTCTTCGTGCGGACGGTAAAGTACTAGTTTGTCTATGTTAAGGGTGTACCAGACTATATAGTTATGGCAAATTGGCAACTCCAGATTCCATTCAGAACTAGGATTATTATTATTCAATATGCGCCGTGTATAATTAGAACACCTCTAGACAGATCATTAATAGCTTCACAAAATGATCAGGACACTATTATACGGATTATTGTTCTGAATGGATGATGATCATGGATTCTTTGATAAGTTGCACATATATACAACTGCGTCAGAGCTGTATTGTTCGGGAACTTTGCGGCGGAAACAAGCTTAGCTAGGGAAGTTATAAATGAAATTGAAAGAATATTAAGTTATATGATCATAATCCCAACATATATATCATCTTATCTCATGTCCAAAAAAACATACTATCCTCCATTTTTTTAGGAAAAAATGTGATGTTTTAAGTGTAGTGGCTACATACGTTAGAAACTTTGTTATAGTAACTTATTTAATTTTTACACTTAGGAGAACATGACACCGTAATAGTAACTTTTAATGATATTTTTGTAAATAAATTTATTTCAAAAAAATTTTAAAAAAATTCTAAAAATATTTATTTAACTAAAACAAAATTACATGTAATGAAATTTAGCCATGGTTAATATCTTTTACACTTTTCAATAAGTGATGCACTATAGTATTTATTCAAGACAAATATAACGAAGCTTGAATTCAAAACTTGACCAAAAAACTATGATTAAGGCCCCAAATGAAAGAATTAACAGATTATTATGTTGACTCTAACTTTATATTAGATAATATGTGTAACATAAAATCTAGATAGTCAGTCATTCTTTCACACATGTAATATTTGATAAATTTATTATCATAGTGTTACTTTATTATATAGCTATATTAAAAATTCTTAACAATATATAAAGTGCTTGAAAGTATAAACTAATCTTGACCATCCTATTAGTTTATCTAAATATTGTATATGCATGGTGCTATTTTGGTATTAAAACCGAAATTTTGGCTCAAATGATTGAAAAAAATGTATAATCAACAATAAAGCTAAGTTTTTAATAATGTGCCATACAAGTAAAATTTAGCTTAAAAAATTGACACCACTCAAATCAATCGCCGGCTCCGCCACTGGTCTCGGTGACCGGTTACCGGCTAACAAAGTTAAAAAAAAAAACAGGTTTAGAACTCTTCTCCCAGCCGTAAAACACCCAAATTGAATGTTATCTTCTTCCCTCCATTTCGCGATTGTCAAACCGACGAGTTACACTCCATCTTCGTTCTTCCAACCGGCGAGTTACACTCCATCGTCGTTCTTCCAACTGGCGAGTTACACTCCATCGTCGTTCTTGAATTTGATTGCGACCACATAGGTAATTAAAGCCGACCCCAATATCTTTTATGACTAAGGTTTGGATATTGTTGTTGTTGTCTGGTATATGAAATTAGGGTTACTTTTTAGGTTGAATATTAATTTGTGAGCTAATACGAAATAGAGGGTTGAAGGTTATTCGCTTCATTGAGTTTGAGGTTTATTTTATTCGCAACATGTTGAATTCTACACTATTCACATGTTCTACTTTGACTACATTTTACGATATTATTTTACAGAAATTATTTTAAAAAAAAAAATTATTCAATTCATCTCTTTACAAATTTTCAAAATCTGATTTTTAATTATTTTTTACTAATAGAGATTAAGATATAATTACGGTCAAAGACGTGCGTTAGCAAATGTGAAATGTTGACCGTTGCAACTAAAAAAGAACGGAGGAAGTATCATCTTATAAAAAGTTTGGAATATTTATACGTAGTTACGGAGTATTACATAGGTAAGTTTGGAAATTAGTTGGAATTAAACTCAAGTGTGCCTTTTTCAGTTCTTATGAAAAATACAGTTAATTTTTTTGTATTGCAATGTTCAACTTCGTAAACCATAATTATCTGTAAAATAAAATTTTTCACATAATTGATGTGTAATATTAAAGTGAGAAATAATTCATTTAATTCATAAAAAAATGTGTTAGGTGAACATATTGACAATACTCCCAGCAGCTCATCTTTTAACTAGAGTGTTGCAAAATCTCTTTCGCTAGGTTTTCCCAAATTTTAAGATATTATACTTTTACTCTAATCCAACAATTTTGATGATGCATTCGCCTGTGTCCAATTTTCAATTAAACAAGACCTTTGTTTCAACCATTGTGCTGTATATCTTTTTTCTGTATTAAAGAGGGATGCAGAGTTGTTATATCCTTCATGATGCTCTTGCATGAGTGCATCTCCTCATCTAATGGGACAGATGAACCATGAAAAGGTTGAAGACATTTAATTTCTTTATTACGGAGTATTAGTATAGACGGTTCATTCTGCTTTCATGTTTCTTTTAACAAACAACATGTTGTTGGTCCATCAAGTCATATTCAACAGCCTGTCATGCTTCTCAATAATTAATACACAGATATTTGTTTATTGCAAGTTTGCAATGGTAAGGACTAAGGACTCACTTATTCTACTTCCCTTTAGTGGTCATCAAAATCCATACATATATGTGCCTGCATAAACCAAGGATTGATCAGTATACCATTTATTACTTTAGTGTGAAAGATTCTTTAGTAGTTCATTTTGATTTAAATATTTGTTTCTTTCTAGTGGTATCTTTACTCTTGTGAAAACCATTGATAGGTTTGGTCTACCCTTAGAAGATCATTAATAGGTTATTGGGTAGTCTCTTGGAAATTAAGTAAAAAATACTATTCGTTCGGTTTCAGCGGTTACCTCCAACTTCTTAGTCATTATTTCCTATATTCGAGAACTTGAATCTAAAAAATATTAAGTCATGTATTGATCTTTATACCTTTTATATGTTTGGGTGTTGAAGATTCTTTAGTAGTTGATCTTAACTTAATTATTAAAAAAAAAATCTAGTGATATCTTTGTTCTTAAGAAAACCATTGATAGGTTTAGGCAGTCCTGTAAAAATCATAAGTCAAAATGCTATTATGTTCTGTTTCATGTTTATCTTCTGCTTCTTGCATTTTGTAGTCACATAAGGATGCAAACACAAGTATTTTCATGCACTATAAATTTTCTTTAGGTTTCAAAGAGTGCATTAATTCACTGTAATTGCTTTATTTATTTGGTACATTATATTCTTTAATTGTTTCACTAATGTATAAAAAAACGTATTCCTGCATTTGATGAGGCCTCATTTAAAAGTTATCTATTTGAACAATTTCAAGTGTGTGTGGTTCCTAAATTAGTAAAATGAATAACATGTTTATTGATAGTTTAAAACTTAGAGTAGTTTATTAATGTTTATCTATTTCATTTTACTGATTTTAACAAATTCATTAATTCCACCTAAAATTTTTGTTAGCAAAACATGCTTTATGTGAATAATTAAGCCAATCTCATATATAAACATATAAAGTTGTGTTTCAAACAATTTGTACATGTGCAGTTATCTCAACACTGGAGATTCGAAAGGAACAGACTGGTTACCACCAGAATGTGATGTGTCACTCAGGCCTGGATGGTTTTGGCATAAATCAGAAGCACCAAAGACACTTACTAAGCTCCTTGAGATTTACTACAACTCCGTGGGGCGGAATTGCTTGCTGTTGCTAAATGTGCCACCTAACACAAATGGATTAATATCAAACAGTGATGTCATCAGACTAAAAGAGTTCAGAACGGCAATTGAGAGCATATTCTCAACAAATCTAGCTGAAAACTGTTCTTTTAAAGTTAGTAGCCAAAGAGGAGATGTAAATAGCAGGTTTGGACCTGAAAATGTGATGGACAAAGATCATTTATGGACTTATTGGGCTCCAACAGACGAATACAAGGGACACCATTGGATCAAACTTAACACGAAAAGGGAAAAGTTCAGATTCAATGTGGTGCGGATCCAAGAAGCGATTGGATTGGGGCAGAGGATTAAGCGACATGAGATTTACGTGGATGAAGTTAGTGTTGTTAATGGTACCACTGTTGGTTACAAGAGGTTACATCGGCTTGAAAAGGGAGTTGTGGAAGGGCAAAGCGTGAAGATCAAGATAGTTGGGTCACGGGCAACGCCTTTAATCTCGTCCATCGGTCTCCATTATGACCCATATTGGCATCCAATTGAGCAGCCTGCCTAACCAAGAAAACATAGGCTAATTTTTTATGTATCTCATCTGTTTTCGAGTTCAAGATATTATTTAGACTCTATTTGGGAAAATGAAAAGAATGTGATTTGGAGATAAGGATGTAAGTTTACAGTGGTAGTGTTGATGTGTGACTATTCAGATTAAATATAATGTGCACTTTCTATAGGTGATGAGATTATTCAATTCAGTTTATTAGTTTTTATAAATAAAGACTGGACTCATAATCTATATAGATATATACCTTAAGCACATTTTACAAAGATGAAGGGATTAATAAAGACTTAGGCAAATAAACCTCCAAATATATTGTTTGAGTAAATATGATGTAAGGTAACACTTTCTCTCCTCATCTCATAACTTAATGCATCCAACAAAGGCTTTATTTCCTGCAACACACCTTCAGGCGATCCCCTTACACAAAACTCATGAACAAACCCATCAATTTCAATCATGCTGAGCCCAGGAGCTTCTTTCTCTATTCCTTTACTATTCATAAGACTTCTCACTTTCTTCACATGGTCAAACTTACCAGCCTTTCCATAAACATCACACAGGTTAACATAGAAAGCATGGTTCAAAGGTTGCATTGTAATCAATTGCTTTGCAACCTTCTCTCCCAATTCAAAATTCCTATGAATTTGACATCCACCCAGCAGTGCACCCCAAACGAACACATCGGGTTCCATTGGCATACTTCTGATAAGCCCTACAGCCTCATCAAACAGTCCAGCCCGACCCAGTAGGTCAACAAAGCAAGCGTAGTGTTGGATTTGTGGGTCTAGAGAATAAACACTCTTCATTGCATTGAAAAACCAACGGCCTTTCTCTACTAGCCCAGAATGGGCACAAACATATATCAGTGAAGTGAAGGTCACATGGTTTGGCTTTACACCCGCTCTTTCCATCTCTTTGAAAAGGTCAAAAGCTTTTTTGGCATTTCCATGGAGGGCGAAGACAGAAACCATGGAAGTCCATGCCAGAACGTCCTTCTTTATCATTTTTCTGAATATTTGGAACGCTCTGTCAACATACCCACATTTCCCATACATGTCCACTAAAGCTGTAGCAATTACTGTATCATATTCGATCCTCTTTCTTATTAAGAAACTATGGATCCACCTCCCGTGATCAATAGCTCCAAGAGACGCGCAGGCTGAAACAACATTAGCGATTGTGATTTTATCTGGGCTGATTTTATCACCATCTTCACCAGAAATCTGCATTTCATGGAACAATTCGAGAGCCTCCTTTTCTCTACTGCCCTGAACAAACCCAGTGATCATGGAATTCCAAGTGATGATATTCTTCTTCTTCATGCTCCTGAAAAGCTCCATTGCGAAATCAAGCTCTCTGTTTCTCAAACACCCTACAATCATAGAATTCCATGACACTATATCTCTATAAGGCATTTCGTCGAACACCTTTAGAGCACTGTTAATCAACCCACTTCCGTAATACAGACTAATCAGTGTGTTTTGAGTGATAACATCACATTGAAACCCGAACTTCAAAACATGCCCATGGATGCTTTGACCCGCAAACCTTTCACCAACCCTGTTAACGCATTCTTTCAACACGAAGGGCAAGGTAATAAAGTCCGGTGAAAACCCATCAAATAACAATCTTTTGTACAGCGCTAGTGCTTTGCAAGAAGCTGGGTCACTGCTCTTGGAAGCGTGAGCTCTGATCATGGCATTGTAAGTAAACAGACTTGGGCTAAAGATGAGTCTGAAAACAGTGTCGGCATAGCTAAGAGAGCCTGAGTTCGAGACAGTGCAGAAGAATATGAGGCGTGAAATGAGGTAACAACGATCGGTTGTTAACAGGAAAGGGGAAGTTATGATCTGGGTATGAATCGGTTTTAGTTCGTTCATGTTCCTGCAATTGTCTAGCAACCTTGTCAGTGTGTTCCTGAGATATAGCCGTTTGGATTCCATCGTTTTCCGGCAGGTAATGCGAACTAGTGACTACTGGGAGGATTCTGTGTGTGCCAATATCCATCCAGAGCACGTTGGAAGCAAACTGAAGGAGCTGGAGAAAGCAGAACTTCAAATAGAAGAGGACGAACCGACGAAGTGAGGATGGGTTAATTCGTTTGAAGAACTTTCAATTTGAACTGCATTTGTGTGAAGTGAAACTGAAACAGGCTTTACTGGTTCAAAATAAAAAAGTTTTTCAGTTTGGAGAAAAATTAAAATAAAAATGTTTTTAAGTTTTTATTCTTTAAATAGAGGAAAATAATTAAAATGCTCCAATGTGAAGCGATGTGAGATCAACACTCCAAACTTGTATATGCAATTTAAATACCTCAAATTTTATATAAAAACGAGAAAAGGGTCACATAAGCCCCTTTACTTGTTTGAAACCATCACTTGAGCCCATCTACTCTTAAAAACATCACATAAATCCGCATACTTGTTAAAAAGGAGCATATGGGTCAGATAACCTGCTACTCTCGGTTGAAAGCTTACGTGGAACTTTTTAACGCAAAAGGGATAATTTTTCCACGTCATTACCCAAAGGTCCTGGTTCTCACACGTACAAGGAGATTACATCGCCTCCCATCGCAAAGGTTTTGGTTCTTACTTTCGCCCGCCTTCATCTGCATTTGCTTTCCTGCGTGAAGATGGCGTCTTCTTCATCTACCTAAACCGCTAGGGTGATACCGAGCTTTGGCTATGAACCGGCCGTTCATTGCAGATGCGGGTTGAAGGCTCCTCTATGTGTGGCAAGAGAAAGTGCGTGGTAGGAGATTTTTTGGCTGCCAAAGATGGAAGGTACATGCATTCCAATTTCTAAATTAGTTGTAAATTTTATTGTTTTGAGGGGGATTCAAGGATTATGTATGGCCTGTTTCAGTTCATGGCTAATTTGGAAGGGTTTAATTTAATTTAGAAGGCTTTAATTGGAAGTTACGGTTTAATTTAGAAAATTAGGGTTTAATTGGTAATTTTCAGTTCAAGTGTTTGCCTTTGTGAAATGATTTTCAGTCCATATCCCCAGCTTTGAGCTTGAATTTCTGATTTTTTGAATGAAAATTTGGATGATTTATTTAACTAGGAATGTAGGGAGTTAATTCTATCTAAGATGGATATGATTGCATATTTTATTCGTATGTTTTTGGAACCAATTTGAATTGGTCTGCATCATTAACGTGTAGCATAGATGCAAACAACAGTAATTGTAGGAGCTGAAAGTACTAGTTGTGGTGGGAAATTAAAGCAACAACAACATTAATTATTCCACAAGTGTTATCTAAACAACATTATAGATGCAAACTAGGAGCTGAACCAAATTGAATGGGTCTGCATCAATTTGAATTGGGTTGTATGTATATAATTAAGAACTTTTTTACTTAGTTGTGGTGGGAAATGCAGGAAGGAGGCTGCAAGTACATTGCTTGAAAAGATGAAAATGGAATTCAAGAGGAAGAAAATCCTGAATTGGTGATTGAAGGAGCTGAAAAATCAGAATTTAATGAGCTAAAATCTATAGTTTGTCTCCTGAGAACACAAATAATGGGTCTTCGTCGTGAAGTTTGTGATATGAGAGCAGTTCTGCCATGGAGGAAATCAAGACACTTATTCAAATGGTCATGCCATGGAGGAAATCAAGAAACTTATTCAAATGGAGGAAAGCAAGAATCTTATCCAAAAGAAGAACAATGAAGTTGGATCCGTATGGAAAGTTGTCACACTTGTTGTAGGATTATCAATTGTAATTTGTTTACTCAATGCGAAAAACATTATGTCATAGTTGTATGAAAGATCTTCATTAGTCTTGTAAGAACATTAGTGTTTTGTTGTGGGTTTAGAATTAATTTTGACAGTTATGGAACTAGTATTGGTTGTTATGTAAGAAGCAACAATCTTGTTTTTTATTTCCTCTTATGTCGTGTAATACTTACAGTTCGTAGGGATTAAACATGGGGCTTCACTTATCATTCACTTAACATCACATGTGTTGGACCAGTTTGACTGTTTTGGTATTCATGTGGTTGTTGGACCGTAGGGATCAAAATTTCCACTGCTCATAAGATGGTTAACAGCGATGTTGATACTCCATTTATCAGCCTTACATTATTCAACTGAACAACAACTTAATGCATCTGAATTATTTCTCCAAGTCATATACATCCATTACTTCATAGTAAAATGAAGTAATGTCCAATTTTTTCTTATCAAGGCTACAGCTTAGTGACAGTGCATGCATGATTTGACTATGTATGTCTAAAAAACAGGTTGGGTACTAGATCAATATGGGCTGCACTTGTAGAAGGGAATGTTATATCCCAAAAAACAGGTTGGGTACAAAGATCAATATGGGTACTAGCCTTTTCTTACCATAAAAAGGGAATGTTTACCCATAATTAGTACATTTACAGAAGGGAGTTATATCCCATACAAAAGTCAGGCAAAAAACATGCAAAAAACACCACAACACAAGCTGCCCAATGGTCTTCTACTTCAAACGAGTTTATCCAGCCGCTCAGTGAGGACTTCCGACTCATTTGAAGGCAAAGCTAGCTCAGTGAGGACTTCTGACTCATCAATACCATGATCCACATATATATCTACTACACCCCAGTTAACTGCCATCTCAATAAGCCGAAGGGTAGACTCATCATTTCATAGTGTTCTTTTCTTAGCATATGCATGTTCTCTTCAGGTAGTTTGAATGATAAGGACTCCGCTTTTTTATATGCATCAATCGTGATATACTTCAGCAAGTGAGGATACAAAATCCTATCTAGATCAAGAGTTACAATTTGTGTGTCACCGTGGTGTATTCGTAATTCAACTTCCAAAAACATTCTGAAACAAAAAACAAATATTATATAATTAAATACTTTACACAATTTCTTAAAAGTACTGAATAAAGTATTGTATTATAAGACCTAATATAAGTGTCTGAATTAAAATAAGTAGCACTGCTGTTTGATATAAAGAGCCAGATTAAGCCAACAATATGAATTTAAAATAACACCATCAAAAATATCTACAAAACATCACCCGCTGCCATAATGCTTACCACCTTACTAGATTTTCTCTCTTGTTAATCTTAGTTTACAAGCATTGAGATGCAACTATCCAAATTTACAATTATTTATGAACATGGGATCAATAATAGGTTTTCAAGATGAACTTAAATTTGACTCTTTTCTGATGCAAGGAGCAAGAACATTTATGTTTTTCTGATGCAAGCTAAGGACCAACACCATTTATGTTTTTAAAGTGTTTTAAACCAAATTCCTTATTTAACTTAGTTATTAGATCTTACAAATTTTTCTCATCCCAACCTAATAGAAGAAAGTAATTCACACAAAAATGAACTCCGTAGCTTTAAGTATCTAAAAACACGACTAACCAAACTTGCAGATAAACTAAACATTAAAGTTGCAGATTTTTACTACCCTAAAAAACCTAAGAAACGACCACAAAGAACTATGCCAGAAAATCTTCTCTTCTCCATAAGTCACAAGCTCAAAGTGATGGGAGTAGGAGTCGTGAACAAGATCATTCAGCCTAACTTTTCATATACAAACTAAAACTCCCAATTTTGACGTTAAAAGACAAGTAAGAATTAAGATGACGAACCTGAAATCAAAAGAATGCGAGCAATGCCTGCTTCACGCTCCTCACCACTCGCTAGCCACGGAAGAAATCATATGGATATGGGTTTGTCAATTTTCGAATAATAATCCCTAGCTACAGTCGCGACCACGAGAGGTGTATTTGGGGAATCTCTAATTCATCCTACGTGGATGAGAGTACAGTGTTTTAGGTTTAATCAGATCTATTCCAACTTTCCACGCTGGCAATTAATTATTCTACCGGGAGTAGCAGGTACTTTGGAGGTAATCTGACCCAGATGCTCCTTTTTAACAAGTATGCGGATTTATGTGATGTTTTTAAGAGTAGATGGGCTCAAGAGATGGTTTCAAACAAGTAGAGGGGCTTATGTGACCCTTTTCTCTATAAAAACAGTATTTTAGCATCATAGTTAAGTATTACGGAGTATTTCTTTCAAAAATGTAAATATATGGTGTTAATTGCATAATTTAAAATATTTTTGAATTCATGAAGACACAATTAACATTCTAAATTTATAGAGGGTTTTCTCTTTCTCTCTAGAGCCGCCGTCTGGGTTGGCCTAGGGCTTGTTCGGTGGCGGTTTCGGCCGCGGCACCGGGGGTTCGAAGTTTGGATTTTGCTTTCGGATTGTTTAGATTTTGCTTTCGGATTGTTTGGACTTTTTGTGAGATCGGAATACAGTGATGTCGGCTCGGGATGCAGTAGCAAGGGATTCTGCGAGTCCATTGATTTGCCTCGGTTCTACAGCAGAAAGGGATTTTCTGCTCCATCAACGAGTCCTCTTGGAGGTCCCTTGTTCGGCGGCAACCCTTGTTTTTGGAAGGAGGAAGATGAGTGCAGTTACGTTGAATTGCAGAGGACTTGGTAATCTGGCTACAATTTTATGTCTGACGGATCAATCCAAAAGTTTGTCTATGGAGGCGGATGAGCGGCGGGCACGTCCCCCTCCTGAGTGCAAGCAAGTCTAAGGTGATTGTGTAGTTTGGCAGGCTCGGACAAAGGATCTACTTTATCTGTTTTATTTTCTCCTTGAGTGATTATTTATTTTGTTGTGTACTTTCTTGTGTTTTTGTTATTCCTGCTTGTAAGACGTTGATTTTGGATGTGGGGGGTGAGAGAAATATGGTGGCCGTTTTTTGCTTTAGGGTTCCCATTTATGGATCAGCGAATTATATTGCTTCTCTGGGGTGATTAATTCCGAGTCTGGTTCACGGGATAACGGTTGTCAGATTTCTTTTTGTCATTTGACCCATACTCTGAATTATCTGTTATCAATTTAAGCCGAATTCTTCCAAAAAAACATTCTAAATTTATATTGCAAAATAATTAATGTTACCCACAATCTATATAATTGCAACACTTTTAATTTGTTATTTTAAACTATGCAATCAACCACATAAGTTTACATTAGTGAAAGAAATAATATATGACTATGGTGTGAAAATGTTAGATATATTATTTTGGGCCTATTTGTATATCATTTTATGCATATTCATTTTGCACATAGCATTGGG